CGTGTAACGTAAATTTTAAAGTAAAAAACTTTATTGTTCAATTAAAGTGGGGGACATGTCAATATGTAACACATATAGATGGGCGTCTAAATTGTTTTTGGGGTTGTCTAAAGTCAAAAATAGTATTTCATAATAATAATTAAATACGCGAAATGTAACACGAATTCAGATGATAATAAATAATTATACACGTTATTGATAAATAAATAGAATTAATAAAATAAAAATAATAAAAATAATGGATTAAATAATAATTAATAAAAATAAAAATAAAAATAAAAATAAAAAATAAAAATAAAAAATAAAAATAAAAATAGAAATAAAATTTAAATTGTCCTGGAATCAACCAAAAGATCTGCATCAAAATCTAATTCCAGTAACAATACTTATCTATTTTTTCTTTTTAATCCTTTTAACAACATAAATCATAGAAATCATAAAACCTAAAATTAAAGTTGTGCCTGCTATTCATAACCAAATAGATTTATCACCAAATTCTTTGAAATATTGTTTTTATATTCTGTTGCTGATTTGGCAAAATCTTCATCTTTTAAATCACTGAAGTGGTTTTGACATGATAAATATTATCACCAGTAGTGTTACAATTAGTTTTATAGTCTGGTAAGACATAAATTTTATCACTAGGAAGATTTTCTTTTGCTTGTTTAATTATAAAAGAATTGTCATCAATAAAAATATCAAAATCAGGATGATTTTTCTGGATTCATTGATACCTATATTCTTCTCTTTCTATAAAACGACCAGGTTTTTGGATTGATAATTCAACATTAATGATTTGTCATTCTTTCTAGTTCCATCACTAGCTGAGGCAATAACTAATTTATTAATCAAAAACTTTCTTTTAAACACTTTAATAAATCCTCAGCAATAGAAAGAAAATATGCTTTTTCATAATAATTAGCATCAAACTTTATCTTTGCAAATTCTTCCCTAAGCTTCTCTGTTCCTCCAAGTCTGTTTTGAAGTTTCACAATTTCTTTGTTCTTTCATTTATATTCCCCATTTTCATCTCTTTCATATCCAGCAAAGGGAAGATAATCATTATCCCTTAAACTGGCTATTGTATAAATTTGTACGATTAAATTTTTTTATATAGAAAAATTTTTCTGATCATCATGCTTTCTAATTAACAAATGATATTTGAGATTTTATACATTGATCTATATATAGAAATTCGGCCATTATTATTATGGGTTTTGTAAAACTGTAAAAAGTCTACCATGCCCGTGTCGATCATTACCTTAAAAATTGATATATTCATAATATAATTTTTTATTGTGCGATTTGGTTAATTTTGATTGGTGGAATTTTGTAATTTACCAATAAATTTTTCGAAATTCCCTTATTCGAAAATGTGGACAGTTTAAGGGATAATCCATATTTATTTCATTGTTATTGTGAAAAGATTCAAAAAAACTATCAAATTCCTCCTTTGATTCTTTTGTATTTCTTGCTTGTGTAATAACTTTATAAAGAATAAGGACATTAAATGGCTGCAAGCATTCATCCCAATCACAAATAATTTTTAATTGATGATCTGTCTATGAATCAGTGAACATTATATAGTGATCAGTGGGGGAAAATTGACCAAAAAAACACTAATTGGGAACCTTTTATAAAAAAAAGTTACTATACTTTTGTCTTGCAAGATAAATTTTTTTCATGCATACAGATAAAATAAATCTCAGAGGACATATTTATGTATTTTTTATTGCCTTTAATTATGTAAAAAAAATTTTTTCTCCTTATGATGTGTTGATTTTTTGAGTTTTGTTATCTGATTTTTCTGTGTAACATTTATTATCTCTTATGTAACAGGAGAGACCGTCCTATATAAGGAATGGATTTTCACAATTGATTTCAATTTTTTTTATACAGTTTAAAATACTTTTACAAGGGTATCATGTAGCCCATTCTTGCAATAAATCATGTGTAAATAATTACACAAACTTGAAGCTTTACACTTTGTTGTTATCATATCTTTTGAATCCCTTTGAATCCCACAACTTTCATAATATGATTTACTCAAAGGAAAATTGCCTGAAATTAAACATTGCACAGAATGTAAAGCCACTGAATTAGCTAAATTTCATCAACGAAAGGCAATAAATAGAAAGAAGCTGAGAACAACAACTTAGTGAAAGTAATGTGTTATTTTATGTAACATATGTTATATGAATTTTGTAGAAAATCTTTTAAAAAGAGAACAAAAACCACAGATGTGGAAGGGGAAGGGGAAGAGGAAGAGAAAGAGGTAAGTGAAAAGATTGATTTCACTAGAGCCATCAAGGTCCTATATATGATTTTGATGAAATACGAAGATTGCTCCAAGAAATAGAACCAAGCTTGAAGGGGTTTTTTGACCAACTCTATTTAGCAGCTTGGCCATTTGAATGTAATGGACCATATGAAGAGATTAATGGTGGTGTTCACGTGTTATCTTCTTCTTGTTTTAAATAATACAAAAATTAACTCTTTTAAGTTTGATCTTGTATTCTATTTAGACTTGGTAGATACAAGTCTTGGAGTAACTACAACATCAAGAGCAGTAGATCGTAAAAAGAAGCAAGTTGCAGATGAACATTGAGAAATATGTAAAATGCACTTACAAAATATTCAAAAATACATTCTTGTTGAATGTTGACAATTATCATAGATTCACGTCCAGAGACAATCAGTATCCTTTAATTACTAA